GGTCACCCTGAAGAGGGTGGCCGGGCGATTATCTGATGACGCAATGAGGGTGGAGTAGTAGTTAGACCTCGCCACCCTCATCGCCACTAGGTAGGATCTAACCTGTATCCTTGCCTGTGTTCGGTCGGATTCGGTTCGACTCGCCCTCCAACTGCTCTCCAGGCGTCTTTTCCGGCGCTTCATCTCTCTCAGCTCCTCCATAAACCAGGGAGCCAATTGAGATCTGCGCCGAGTCAGAGGCCGCAAAGGCACGACTTGGTCCAATGCTGCGGCAGCGGCCGTCTCCCAGGTCTTGTTTCTTCAAAGCTTTCTGAATGGGGTAAGGAAAGGTGGCAATGATGGTAAGGCTAGAGTTGGCAACACACATACAGTATGCACATTCTACACACAGATACAATCTTCTGAGCAAGGCAGCAGATTCCAATAAAATTATCAATGCCCTGTTGAAGGAAAAGTCTTCAACATGGTTCAGTCCAAGCCGGGAATAAACAACATGGCGACTGCTTTAGAAAGAAGGTTGCAGTTTATTGAAGAGGAGAGCCAGACAGAAAGATGGCTCTGGAAGAAAAAAAAAAAAGAGCACATGTAGGGAGTGGGTTTTTATACCCTCTGGAGCCTTTTGTTTGGAGTTGTTCCTGTGGCATGAACTTTGACCTGAGTCTGAGTGTGCCCTTTGACATCTGTGGGTTAATCCTATTATAGCCTGTCTTAGAGTTTGGGTGGGGTATGTAGATTTTAGATGTCTTTGTCTTCTTAATCTTCTATCTTCCACCTTCCTGAATGGTTTACATCTGCATTTCTACAGAGCTGGTTTCTGCTTGGGGGAGGGAGATTTGGGACTATTAAGAAAACTGGGCATGCTTTTCTGCCTCTTTAAGATCCTTTGAGGAAATATATTTTTCTGCCCTTTTAATATTTCCTTCTCTGGGGGGCTGACTTTCCACAGCCCTTTACATCAGCCAAGTCTTGGTAAAGCAAAAGGAAGGACTTGCAGGCTGGCTCCAACCTGTGAGCCCAACCCTATCTTGTACAAATTTGGGGATTCAACAAATTTGGCTTTCATCCCAGATCCCAAAGATGTACGTAGCCACAAGCCAGTCCCTGCAGTTGTTCTGCCTAGAGGCTGGGTGCTTTAATTTTCCTGTTCATATGCTACCATTCATTCTTTTGGTAAATAAAGCCGCTGAATAATTTCTTTAGAACAGGTGACTTTTCAACCAAAGCCTGGAGTGTTTGTTCTGATCAGGGCTTCAGCCCTGCATGTGAAAGCCTTGTGGCTTGCATAAACAAAACTGAACTGCTGTTAGAACTTGCACCTGCTCTCTCTGGACAAGTTGACATGTTTTTCTTCAGTTGCTGCTATAAAAACTAAATGCTGATCTCAGATACTGTAAACGTGGAACAAGAAATGAGAATGATTGCTAAAAAAAAAAAAACTAAGCAAACTCATCTTTTCCATCATTTTTTTCTAAAAAATAAATTTTCATTTTTTTTGTTTCTTTGTTTTTTAGAGTTGCAAGGTTCTGTCAATATTTCATTTGCTACGCTATGCAGACAAACATTAAATTATTAATAGGATACAGCATATTTACTTTTAGCCCAATGAAAACCTCAGTTTTATTTATGGGCTATGGGGGTTTGTCACAATAATTAATCTTATTTCATGATTCAAATTATCTCAAACTTCGAGAATCTCTGATTTAGGCAATCTTTGTGTCAAGAAGTTATATATGGACAGGAATTAAGTAGTTAATCATAAGTCCTGCTGTAATATTAGTTGCCCCTTGTTCTTCTGTGGCAGGGATTAAACTGAGGAGAGAAAAGTTGAAAGGTTATTTAAATACCTGTCCTTTACTCCTCGTGTTACTTTCCATCCTTAAGTACTTTGCTGGTGGGTTTTTTTTATACAGTACAATTGTTTTTAATTAATGTGTCTGTCAACACACTGTAGATTTCATCATCTGTTGTAAATCTTTCAGCTATAGATTTATTCATGTCATTAGGGAGATTAAGTATCTAGCCTAAATTCTTTGTATTGTCAATTTCTGGAGTTTTGTGATCAAACAAGGCAACTTGGTAATGATGGGCTTAGGCAGATATTGTTGGCTGACCAAATTAACTGAGGTGAATGGTCACATTTAAGCTTCACTTGAAATAATAACCAATGTCTCAGCAAACAGAAAACCCACCTCGATCAAAGAGAAATCTCCAAAACTATATCAGGGGTGTTCCCTTTATTAGGTTAACTCAAGTCCACAGAACAATACCTAAGCTTTTGAGTTCATAATAACTCTTCATCTGATAAAGAGTCAGTTTGGTCTAGTACAGGGGTAGGCAACCTTGGCTCTTTTATGACTCGTGGACTTCAACTCCCAGAATTCCTGAGCCAGCCATGTTGGCTCAGGAATAAGACACCAGGCTAGAAAGCGGGAGATTGTGATTTCAAGTCATGCTTTAGCCATGAAAGCTGGCTGGGTGACCTCGGGCCAGTCATTGTCTTTCTGCCCAGCCCACCTCACAGGGTTGTTGTTGTTGTGGGCAAAGTAGAAAAAGAAGGAGCATTAGATATGTTTGCTCCCTTAAGTTTTTTCGTAAAAATAACAAAGGCAGGATATAAACAAACAAACAAACAAACAAACAGGAGGGGGGATTTATGACCCAGGGGTCACATGTGCTCTCCAAGTTCTACTTTAGCCTCCAAAGTAGGCGTGTCCAACCCATGGCCCATAGGCTGCATGAGGCCTTGGATAGCTAGCCCCACAATAAATAAAATAAAAATAAGATTGTTATTTATATACGCAAACTAGATTATACATTACAATTCCTTCCCGTTCAGTGCAGCCCAGGTGAGCCAAAAGGTTGGACACGCCTGCTTTACAGTAATCTCCTATTCAAATCACAAAATAACCTATTTTTATTTATACAAAGTTTCACACCGGAAATATATACTGCTTAAAAAAAATAAAGGGAACGCAAACTCCTTCAGTTCCATGTTAAAATGTTCCCTTTATTTTTTTGAGCAGTATATATACGTGACTTACTATTTTTAATTTGTTAGATTTATATCACGCTTTTCCTTCAAGAAAAGGCAGCTTAGGGGGGGGTTCTTCCTTCATTTTATCCCCGTAAGACCAGTGCTTTGAGAGAGGAGTCACTGACCCGAAAATCACTCAGTCATATATTATCTATGGTCAACTTGAATCTGGATCTCCCCCACTCTCGGATTAGTACCTTTACCGCTACATCACATTGGATAAATTAAAAAAATAATAAACAAACCTAATCTATCTCCTTAGTGTTTGGATGGATATAAATGAACTCTGAAAAGTGTGGGTAGATATTATAATTTTGCCCAAGCTCCGGTGCTTAATTCTCCACCATATTCTGGGAAAGATTCTCTGCAGAGCCATCTCTCTCTGATGTTGTCTGTGATACGGAGTGTGCTCTGCTGCCCTTTGACCATTCCTCCTCCTCTCCTGATATACGCCGCGTGTGCAATGCTCTGCCGTACCTCCTCCCCCAGAAGGAGACAAAGTCTATTAGCCTTGTGAGGTCAAAGGCTCTCTGAGGCATTAGAATTGCCTGCATTTTCCTGATGTTCCCTCTGACAATGAGCTGAAAGGTAGGTGATTATGATTCTGGAAAATGGTTCAGAGATCTGCCTTAGATCAAAGCAAACATTTGCACCCTCTCCTTCCGAACCGTCTGCTGAAGGATCTTCAGGGTTTTTAGTAGGAGTCTTTCCTAGTCCTCCTTAAAGATGCTTTTGCTTGAGAAGCAGATACTCTGCCACTGAAATACTTCGTGTGATTCAATCAATGAAAGTCTGGAGGGGCCACGGAAGCAATGCTCTGATTAGGAAATGATTCATTTTTTTTTTTAGATGATAAATGGTAAGAAAGCACCAAAGGTTCCCTGGATTAGTTGCCAGGAAAATGAAGCTGGCACTAGGTTCTCCAGCATGGTATCATAACGCAGTCGCCCAGACCCAGAAAAAAAGGCAGCCAGTCACTACCAGGAAGGGTGTGGTTAGACAGCAGGAAGAAATCAGGACCCTTGGCTATCCTTGCGCTGCAGATACTGCTATATTTTACTGCTTCTCTCTCTCCCCACAGAACTATTATTTGACATCCAGGGAGGATGGACTACAAAAAACAGCACTGTCTGCAGTGAGATGTCTGGTGGTGCTATGGCCAAATGAGATGGCCAAACGTCTTGTGGTGGCTATTGCTCTCTGGGCTTTGGGGGGCCCTACTGGGCTTCACCATCTCTACTTGGGCCGGGATAACCATGCCTTACTCTGGATGCTGACTTTGGGTGGCTTTGGCATAGGGTGGCTTTGGGAGCTGTGGCTGCTCCCTGGTTGGGTAGCACAGGCAAATGGTACGCCAGACTTGCCCAACGGTCAACTCCCACCTTTAAACCCTGTGCGTTTTCTTGGCCAAGCTTTAGTAGGCATCTATTTTGGGGTAGTGGCTTTGATTGGTCTCTCTACTCTGCCAGGTTTTTACCTTCTGGCCCTTCCTCTGGCTGTGGGTCTTGGAGTTCATTTGGTGTCTGAAGTGGGCAACCAAGCCTCCAATCTTCAAGCAACCTTAACGGCTGCCTTCATAACTGCACCAGTCTTCTATGGCCACCCTCTGGGGATCTTGCCCATTACTCTCACCACTAGTGCGACAGCCCAGAATTACCGACGCTATAAAACCATCAATCGCACCAAGAAGAAGCTTAGCCTCCGACTTTACCGACTAGGCCTGGCCTATCTGGCATTCACAACACCACTGGCCTACTCTGCCTTCAGCAATACAGCAGCGACTGCCAACTACATAGCCAGCACGATTGGAGCAGCCCTGGATTATGTCAGCGTATTTCCATCGTTGAGTGGAATATTGGAATGGATGCTGCTTCTCCCTTACCGTGCCGGGAAGATGTTGGGTTTAAGTGGTGGCTATTTCCAGGAATGGGAGAACATTTTAAAATTTGTACAATCTTTCCAGGACGAAAGACGTCAGATGGCGTATCAGGTACAGTGGACTTTATTATTTTTCAGCCTTTGGAAACGGTAAGTTTCAAGTTTCCTACAAATTATCCAACAGGATCAGGGTCGTCCTCAACTCTGAGGGAAGAATGTTCCAGAGGGCAGGGGCTACAATAGAGAAGATACGTCTCTCTGCCAGTTGACATTCCTTAGCTGATGGGGCCCATAGCATATCCAAATCATTTACTACCCATGCAGTCACATTTTGCACCAGTTGAAGCTTCTAAATGTTTTTCAAGGACAGCCCCATGTAGGGTGCATTGTAGTGATCCAATGTTATATAATCAAATATAGGATATGAGAATCTCTGCATGTCATGATACTAAATCTTTCCTTACATTCTGGATTAGCACAGGATCATCTGCAGGAAGGATAAAAAAAGTCAAGCTGATGGTCATTACTGCACAATAGAACCTGTTCCCTTTGTATATGCATCACAGTGTTTACAAACTTTGGTTGCACATTTGTGACCACCCTCTTGATTGTTTTACCCCTTCCCACAGTCATCCTTGGTTCAGCTTGTCATATTTTTGTCTGTCTGTCTGTGCCTTCAAGTCAGTTTTTGATTCCTGGTGACTACCTGAACTAGTTCCTGCAGTTTTCTAGACAAGATCTCTCAGAAGTGATTTGCCATTGCTTTCCTCCTAGGGCTGAGAGAAAATGACTGGCCCAAGATCACCCAACTAGCTTTGTATCTAAGGCAGGACTAAAAATCACAGCCTCCCAGTTTCTAGGTGATACCTTAACCAGTACATCAAACTGGCTTATGTCATCAGAGACTAAAATTCTCACTTCAAGCCTTGCATATCAAACAACTAGCTTTGCATATATTAAACAACCGCAATTTGTAATAATAGTAAAATGGCATTAAAGGAAGCTCATATAGTAGTATTGTACGGTGTACAAGATAAAACAACAAAATGTAAGTCATGTTAAATCTAATTACACAAAAAAACGTAAGTGAAAAATTCTTATTCAATTCGGTAATAAAATCTTCTAATTTAACAGTATTTAAAAATAGACGAGCAACTAAATAAACACATCAGAAGACCCTACCTAGCCAATAGTTTTGCACTGACATTCATTTACTAATTTTAAACACTACTTATGAAAAGAATAAGATTATCTGAAACTAGAACTATTTGCTTGTAAGGGAAAGAGTTCAAAGGGCAAAGAAGTAAACAACGTGATAAGTTGTCTGTCACACCTACTTGCTCCGGTATTGACTATTTCTTCCATTTACAGCATATTTCCCTAATATCTTAGAATTAAAATTCTCAGAATTCTTAATATATCCCTTGGTTTGAATTCTTAACTTAACACAAAGACCATGTTGATTGTAATGGAATTTTCTGAGATTATCTGAAATATTACACGCCATCTTTAAAGGCTGAAAATAGTATCGTATCTTACTGGCTGAAAGTTTTACCTAAAATATATGACTAGAGATAATAACAAGGCTCTTCAGTTTTGATGTCTTTGGATGTAGAAAGAAAGAAAAGACAACTGTGTTTTGCAGAATTGCAAGAAAGTGCCTTTATGCTTAGCTTTTCAAAGCTCTGCAAATTAATGTGCTCTACTATTAGTTCAAACTCTACAAAAATCATCCTTCATTGGATTTTTGGCTTTTATAGATTTTCCAATAAGTTGTAACAGTAAGTGCAAGAAAATTATTCTTTGTTCTCTCCACCTCCGCTCCATCACTGACAAATGACTAATTTATTTCTTTCTTTGATGTTATCCTTCCTTTATTGCTTTATAAGTAACTCAAGACAACAAACATGCTCCTTCCTCCTGGTCCTCCTTTCCCCCCCCCCCAACAATCCTGTCAGGTGGGTTGGGCTGAGAGAGACTGGCCCAAAGTCACCCAGCCAGCCAATTATCAATTAGATAATTGATAATTAAAATATTAGTGAACTCACAGCTGTGATAGGATGCTGATTCACCTCTCTCCTCTTCTTCTAGATCTTAGGTGTCCCTAATGATGCCACTCCAGAAGAAATTACCAAAAGTTACCGGGAGCTGGTGAAGCTTTGGCATCCTGATCATAATCGACATCAAGTAGAAGAAGCTGAAAGACGTTTTATTGAAGTGCAAGCTGCCTATGAACTCCTCATGCAGACAAAGAAGCCAAAATCTGCATGACTGCATTTTAGACAGCATAGAAATTTTATTACCATCAAACAGCTGGGGATTAAACCATTATTATTAAAGTAATGGTTCTCAAGATAACATGGACCAAGATATCAAAAAGGGAATCAGTGCCATCAATCTTTGCTGGTTTCTGCCCCTGAAATATATGTACGATATCAAAAAAAAGGTATCTTATTTATCAAATAAATCCTACTATGTTAACAATGGGAAAATGAACCTCATCCTTTCTAACTTCAGAGAAAATAAAATAAGAATTGCATAGAATTGCCTTGCAGGGGAGATGGGCAGCATAGAAATTTAATAATAAATAAAAATGTTCTCACTAATTTTCTTTGTATTTTATTGCTGGTTTATATTTATGATTAACTTTAATTACAGTGATTGGTTATAACACTGCTTTAACTGTAGTTTTAAGCTGCCTTGAAAACTTTTACACTATAGACATGTGTTTCTTAAATTAGAAAAATCAAGAAAGCGTTTAGCCCAAGGTAAGTTTAGTATGCAACCTCATGCTGTGCATGCATAGAAATCCTACTGAATCCATTATTATATCATAGGTTTCTTTAAACTTGTTACATTCCCTCTAAATTGCTTGCTTAATACTCCTTTCCATATTTCTTTTAATTGTCCCGATATTCTCTTTGATAGAGCAATATCATTAAATCTTATAAGAGTTTTTTTCCCATAATAACATTTAATTATCCTCAACCTGAGTAAACAGCAAACTTGGCCATCAGTTTTATTATGATGTAGCATCTGAAAGAGTACTTTTCCTTTATATTGCAGTTTATCTTGCTAATTTTACTTGAGTGCTTGAATGACTGTACTTGGTAAAACATACACCGATATTTTTTATTTATTATATACTTTATTTACCTTTTACTGGAAACACAGTATGAATTATTGGTTTGAAATGCTTACATGGTCATCTAAGCCCAGCAGGTGACACTATTGAGCTATTAACAGAAAACCTTGATTTAAAAAAAAATCAGGTCTGGATGTAGTAGCGTTCAAGAAAGTTTTACCTATATTTTAGAACAGTAGTAGCGAACCTATGGCACGGGTGCCAGAGGCGGCACTCAGAGCTCTCTCTGTGGGCACACGCACTGTCGCCCAGTCCTAGGCCTTTAGCTGGGTTTTATAAAACCTTTTCGCTTTAGGCCTCTGCCGCTGTGTGCAAAAAAAAAAAAAAGGTTCAATCAATCAGTCAATTTCAACTTCTCACGGGAAAAAAAAAGATCTTGCAAAGTTAGAATTGATTAATTGAACTTTTTAGTCCCACCCAGTCTGCCGTTACCACAGCCATGCCCACCCAATGGGCCACACCCAGCCAATGGGCCACACCCATCCGGCGATGCATAAGTGGGTTTTGCGTTGCAGTTTGGGCACTCGGACTCTAAAAGTTTCGCCATCACTGTTTTAGAAGCAGGGCCACACCCTAAATATTATGGCTGGGAAGACAATGGGTCTCCAGTCAAATTCAGAAATCATCTTGAGGGTTGAAGGTAAGTGATGCTTTGCCTAAAAGATGGAAGATTTGGGGAGAATTTAAATCAGACAAATTCAATGAGAACTGGAATTCATTATAGTATCACTGTGGAATCCTGCACAGAGGAGAATGTGCCATTGTCTAATCATGGTACAAATCTTCTGAGATTGATTTCGCCCTACACTAATGTGGCTTGTTACGTTTTTGAGCAATGCCAACTTTCAGCCAACCATTGCCTGTGTGAGCTCAGCAAACCTGCAGGTTTTTTTCTTTCTTAAAAAGTGTTAGTATAAAAGGGCCTACATTGAGACAAATGTCTAGCATAAAAGTGAAATCATGAATTGATATGCTCGATGAATTCAGAAACATGGGTCGAGAAGCCTTAGGTAAGCTATCCATGGTTCAGTAGGTCATGCCATCCACGTCAACATCCTCAGAAACAGATATTCTGAATCTCTTACATAAAACAGGGCAGACGCACAACGAATAACAACGGCTTATACGTAGAGCCGGCATACAGAAAACTTAAAATGTGATTAAAGTTAAAAAAGTATAAGCGGCGTGCAGGTATTGAGGGGGGGGCGGAGGCGTCCTCCACCTCCAGCAAAGCTCTGGAGCCACTCAGTGAGAGATCCTAAGCAACCGCCGTCAAAGGATCCTCCTTCGGCCGTTGCAGGAAAGAACGCGCATCTCCACACCTTGTTTCAGGATTCGCAGGAGGCGAGGAAAGAACGGCGAGAGACGTTATTGGGTAGCCAGAGCTCCTCGCGCCCCTCCGTACGCCTGGATTGGGTCTCCTTCCACGGCTTTGGCAATTGGTCCAGCGTAGTAACCATCCGGCCGAAACAACCTCTTTCGTGGTCGCTGATTGGGTCTTTCTAACGCCGAAGCCGATTGGACAGCGGGTAAAGCGCTTCGGTGGCTAGAGCGGTTCCGTTGTCCTGGAGCCGAACTCAATTTTGGATCTTGGGAGGGGAGGGGGGGGAAGGGAGGAGAGAAAAGGTGGGAGCGAACTCGGTTCTCCGTTGTTCCTATTGGCCGGCGCTCCGCCGAAGAGAAACACCTTTCTTATTGGCTGAAGGAAAGAGGGCGCCTGTGTCCGGTTGGCTGTGGGGCTCGCGCAGCCTTCGACGATTTTGCTCTCTCGGTTCTCTCCCTTACGGGTGGGCGGGGCTCACTTTCCCCGGCGCTTGGCGGCGGCGGCGGCGGCCTGAGGTGCGGAGGGGAGAGTGGAGCGGCTGAGGTTTGATGAGGTTTTCCGCCGAGGTGGGTAGGACTGTTGGCGCGTGGGAACAAGGCGAAGAGCGGGGATTGGGCGTCATTGGTGGTCGTGGGGGGGGGGAATGAAAAGCATGTGGGGAAGGAGCTTCGGAGGGGAGAAGCTGGAAGCGGTGATGGGGAACAAGGAGAGGAGTCGTGGCACAGGCGGGCAGCTGAGCGAATGGCCTGTGCTGGGGGAATAAGGGGTGGGCTCAGAGGCAGGCCGTTGAGGGGGCGGCGGGCTGGAGAGCGCAGAGGCGATGTGGCGGTGGGAGGAGGGATTTAATATGTGGCAGGCAGGACTGAAGCTCAGCCCCAGAGCCTTGGCGACTCCCGAACTCCACAGCAGAGGAACAATATCTGCACCCCACGGGAAAAAAAATGGAAAGAAAGAGCGCACGCGGAAAAGTGGACGCCTTGGCTTTGCAAAAAAGAGCCCTTTACGGATAAGGACGTCCCTTTCCCAGGAGAACTCGCAAAGAACAATTTACAAAACAGGCTGCTAGGGCAAGCAGTTCGATTTTAGGAGAACCGTTCATCAAGCAACCTGGTAAACGCCTTCAGAAGGACCCCAAAAAAGTCCTGATCTTGTCTAGAGGGATTTTTCTTTTCCATACGGAATGAGAGTGTTCCCACATGCCCTAACCCTTTAATTCCACTGTCACCCCCTTCCCCCACCCAGCACTGGGAGAGGGAGAGGGCGAAAGGAGGAAGGAAGGCAAAATAACCATGGGGATTGTGAGGTTTAGAAAAAAAAGCAAGTCGTAGCAGTACTATGGACTATTTATTGCCTGCTGCTATAGTATTTGCGTCTGAATTGCAGTATTTTGGTATTTGAAAAAAACATTTTCAAAGGGAAACAGCAGTAGCTAAAGAGTGCAAAAGTGAAATATGTTACTGCTGAAGTGAATGATAGTTATTGGTATTCTGGAAAGATAAAGTAACAATGCACCGGTGTGCCCTATTTGCAGTGGAAAGGTGAAACAGAGAAACTTGTATGTCTATGGAGATTCTGCATCATCCAGGTCATGGTTGTCCCAAAGGTGATTTTTCCAAAAGGCAACTGGACTTTCTTTTCACCAAGAAAGTCCAGTTGCCTTTTGGAAAAAGCACCTGTGTGACAGAAGCTTATAGGGAGCATGGCTTTAGACTGAATGGAATTATATTAGTTAAGCAGAAAAGATAAATCAAGGCAAAACAGAGAGGAAAAGAATGTCCTAAGATTGGAGGATGAGTTTTCCTGTTTAATTATACAGTTCCATTCACACAGTGCTAATCTAACTGTAGTTTGTGGCTTTAATGTGAAATGTGAAATGTATTTCCTTTCCAAGAAAGGAAATACATTTATTTGCCTGATTACAAAGATGTATGTAAGTTGGGATAAACAGTTTTGATCCTTAGGGCTTTTGCTATTTGTTGTGACGCTTCTTTCTTATGATGTTTGAAAGTAATTGAAAGTTATGGACTGTGAACATCCAGAGCTCTTCGTGTTCATGATCAACAAGACTAAAATAGCTTGGTAAGGGACTACTGTACTCAAAGCCAATTAGCCAGATGTTGCTGCTTTAACATAGATGTTGTTCAGGCTTTGAAAAGGGTAAACTTTTTTTTTTTGTTCAGTACCACAGAATGAAGCGAAAAACAGACTAGATCTGACTAAGGAGTGCTTGCTGTCTTGGTTCAAAGTACATTGGCCATTAAAAACTTTGGATGTATTGATCTACAGTGGCAGGTTTCTGAGATCATCACATACATCATAGACTAATGATGCTACATAAATATATTTCTATATAAATATAGAAAGCATAGTTAGATAAGGTATGCATGGTTCAGAATTATTTAAGGATAGAAAGGAAACTGCAGTTACTTTTAAAACTTTTTTTTAGGTATTAAAATTGGACATGTGGCTAGATGTCTTGTGTTTGTGATAAAATGACAGCTATCTGTTCCATTTTATGTTGAATAGTTGGTTGCATTTGTAATTTACTCCTTATTTAAAGTGCTAGATTAGAGTGACTTTTATATGATGTCCTGATCTGTGCAATTTAGAAATGCTTTCAAATCAAATTTATTTACTTCAGTTATAGATTTGTTGCATCTGCAGTGTGGACTATTAAGGAATATCATTAACATTAGTCTTCACTTAATGTATGCCAAAGAATCCTCAATGGTTAAATAAAATGGAGCTTTAAAAACCATAATTTATTCCTTAACAACACTTCTATTAGGCTGTTTTATTTGGCATTGGAAGTCAATCCCCTTGATTGTTATAGATAGACAGACAGACAGACAGGAACTATATATTGCAACTAATAACAATAACAGGACTTTTATGCTCAGAATATAAAATTTGACAAGTCAGGACTGTATGTTATTATCAGTACTATACTTAATTTCAGAATGCATTCAAAACTCTTTTTAAATATTCTCTACATTGCTGAATTATTTGCTTTAAATAAAATTTGAATTTATATGCAATATTTCTATATTGCAGATCTTTCTAGAGCTGTGCAACTCTCTTAGAAAAGAGACATCTTTCAAGCCAATTTGATTTAATGGTTAAGGCACCAAGCTTGAAAGCCAGAGACAGTAAGTTCTAATCCCACCTTGAAAGGCAGCTGGATGTCTTTGGGCTAGTCAGTCTCTCTCAGCCTAACTCACTTCAGAGGGTTATTGTTGTGAGGAAAATAGAAGGAGGAATGTATGTTGAATATGTTTGCTGCCTTAGAGTTATCTGTAAAAATAATGAAGGTGGGATACAAATAAATGCAATAAATAAAAATAAAATTCAGAAGCATATTTCTGAATTGTTAAAGTGGCTGTATCTTTTTCCAGGCTTAAGTGGTTGCTTTGGAAGCAGTTTGTGGTCTTCTCTGCATATGTATCCATACACAGTGATTTCATTTCATGTTCCCACTTGTTCTAGAACAGTGGTTCTCAACCTTTTTAATGCCGTGACCCCCCAACCGGTCATAAGTCGAGGACTAAACCGGTCATAAGTCGAGGACTAAACCGGTTGTAAGTCGAGGACTACCCAACCAGTCGTAAGTCAACTTTCCCTGCCCGGGAGCGCTGCGCATGCGTGGTTCCGCCCCCTGTGCTGGCCGAGGCGTAGCTGGCAAGCGGCAGAGATGGAGCAGGCCGACCACCAGCTGGCCCAGCTCAAGGGAGGTAAGGCACCTGCCGGAAAAGGGGGAAAAAATGGCAGACAGCCTTGCTTGGCGACCCCCGTGAAATGGTCGATCGACCCCAAATGGGGTCGCGACCCATAGGTTGAGAACTGCTGTTCCAGAACACCTCTTTTGAGGGACTTGTACAACTCTATCTTCTTCTTCTTGTGCCATATCTGTTATCGGATGTTGGCGATCATGTTGGCGATCCTGTTTTTATCAGCAGCCGCACGAAAAAGTGCTGCTGAGTTTTGTCCAAATCAGTCCCTTAGATTTTGAAGCCATGATGTTCTTCTTCTGCCTGGACCTCGTTTGCCTTCAATCTTTCCCTGGAGGATTAAATGGAGTATGCTGTATTTTTCTGGGTGTCACATCACATGTCCGAAATATTCTGATTTTCGTTTTTTAATTGTTTTGATGATTTCCCTTGGCTTTCCCAGGTGGCTTATCAACTCTATAACCATGTGCAAATTTTCATGTACTGTTTATCACTTTTGGGGATAAGCAGGGTCTAAAGCTGTTCTAATTCTATTGTCTTCATCTTTGTTATGAAGTTTATTTGGTTATAGATTTATATTAAGTCTTTTCAATTTTTTTACAAGTAAAAACCTCCTTTTCCAAATTTTGAGCAATTTATTTCATAACTATCACACCCATAGTCTATATTTATAAAGTGTAGTATTTATTCTTTATAAAGTATGGTACCAGATATTGCATTCTGACAATAAGCGTTGTGGTTTTGATTTTTCGAATTCATCTTATTGAGGTACAACCCTGTGGAATTCTCTGGGAATGAGTGGCATTGACTTCAGTGTGACTTTTGAATAGGATTGCACTTCAAGAGAAGATGGTCCTAATCACAGATGGGTTTAACAGATTGATACAGCACTGCCAAGGAGGGAGGCTTGCTCTCTACAATTGCACAGAGTTTCAGAAGTACTTCTGCTTTTTGAGTGGCCTTGAAACTGAATGCAGCATTCAAATCATTGTGTGCTGTCTGTTTATTCTTGAGCTCATTTGATGAATGAATGAATCTCTTTCAAGAAAGATAGTGAAAAAATGAGTTTTTAAAAAATGCAGGTTAATCCACCCAAAGCACCACTTACTCTTCTGGCTGCCATTATCAATTGTACATGATGAACACATGTTTAGAAATGCTGTTTCATCAACATGGGATTCTTCAATAGTGTAGCTAAATGGATACTTAATATTCTTATGAAACCAATCATTTTTGACCAAGTCTTGTAACAAACAAGTACTTTTTTTGTTCTTGTAATTCCAACTAGATGTAGCCTTGAGTATTATGAATGTTTTTTCTTTTGTCAAAGAAGTTACAAAACCAACAATGAATGTTAGGTTAAGTTATTTCATAGGACACTGTTCAAAACGATTATCTTTTTCTATCTACGATAGGCAGAAATTCAGATATAAGCCAATACATCACATAGTGCAGGGATGGGCAGTTAGTGTTACGAAGGGACTACATGAAAAATGGGGACTGTTGTGGAGGGCTGAACAATAGGTCTATGAAGGTGCACAGGCATGCATCCACCCACATGCATAAACTGAAAAAGAAGCAGTTGCCTTCAAAATAAAAACAATCCACTTGGGCCAGACAGGGATAGCCAAAGATCTGGATGTGACCTGGGGGAGGCATAAAATGTGCAATGCCCAGGTCTGATTAGTGTACACTTGTTTGATGTATTTTAATTGCCACGTGATAACATTCTGAAAGAACTGATGGCCAAATTGATTACAGAATAATAATCTGCACTTAAGTTCCATCATGATTCTCTTCTCCCAATCTGGGCAAAGTAGATTTTTTTTTCCAATATTTTTGTCACTACCCATTTTTATAGAGAATATACATCATAATTCTTATTTTTGTATATCTGTATCCAAGCTTCAGTTAGAGTAGTTATGAGTGCACCATTGGAAGATTTGAAGTTAGGGATAGATTTGTCATGAGAAAATCTATGTGGTCACTAGGAGTCAAAAATGATTTGATGGCAAATAAATCAAAATCAATGTCCGGTATTGTTCACCAGAAGTCAAACATGGACTCAAAGGCATATTTTAAAAAAAAGTCTTAGTATATTTTTGTTTTTTCACTGTTTGCTGTGTTCTTGATCTTAGTAGCCTCCAGTTGGACAAAGACACTGTCCCTTTCTAGCTTATGAAACTTCATAAAGTATTAATATTATATAAATATTAATGTAGCTGATGGCTGGCTACAGATATTATGAAGCCAGGTGTTGTTTTTTTTGAAGTATTCAGGTCTAACTCAGTTTATAAGAAACTGTTTGTTACAGTTTTGAGATTTTAAAAACGTTGTTTCATGCAGTCCATAAGTGTGATTAGATTTCTATTAGTCTGCTTGGCTTCTGGCTGAATAGATTATTGCCTTTTAGAAAAATAGTTGCATGAAACAGCCCCTGCTTTTATGCAATGCTTCTAGAGTTGCTAGCTGATTTTGGGACAGTTATTCATGAGCAAGGATCAACATGCTTATTCTCACAGCAATTATTTTGTCTTGGGGGAAACAACCATAACAACAGCTCTTTGTATAGCTGGAATAACTGATCTAGCCACTATTTTTTTAAAGCATAATTCTGTGTTAAAAGCTGGAAGCTAATCATCTTGGGCTACAGTCCAAAGTTGCCATTTGGTATATAGACAAATACTGCAGTGATACACCAGATATAGATGTATCTCTGATAATGTTTGACAATATACCGTTTAGTTTTTAAAATATGTCATGGATATATAAGCTGTACCAACTATATACCCGGTTCTGTTACATTCCTATATAATTAACTTCCTTGATTTACAACTTTATTTCTAACTTTATTCTACAACTTTATTTTGAAGTGTCCCTCTCCCTCACAGAGGGACTCTGGACAGTGTGCAAATAAAATATTAAAAACATAAAAACAGTATATAAAATTTAAAAGGCAATCAGTGTTAAAAATTAAAAGGCAGAGGGAAAGGACTTTCAAGGCACTAACCAGCTACGTGTCCCTCTTTCCGCCCCAAGTAAGACCGTAGAACCATGTTTTCACGTCTTTCCAGAAGCCCAAGAGAGTGGGGCCTACCTCACCACTGGGGCAAGAGCAGAGAAGGCTGTCTTCCTGGACACCGCCAGTCAGAATTCTTTAACCGATGGGGTCCAAACCTTCCTTCCTTGCCTGACCTGATGGGATTAGTTGATGTAACAAGATGAAGACAGTTCCATAGCTAACCTGGCCCCATGCCATCTAGGGCTTAACTCTCAAAACCAACACCTTGAACTGGGCCTGGACGCAAACCAGCAACCCAATGCAGCTCGCGCAGTAGAGGTGTTACATGTGCCGTTCTTTGGGCACTCAAACTTGCCATACAACCACATTTTGTACCAGCTGAAGCTTCCAGATAACTATTCAGAGGTAGCAGCAGTCCAAATGGGAGATGATCAGGTCATGAGTGAGTGATCCATTCACACGGCGCCTGTGACTTTCATTGTTTGCTAATCAGAGAAAATATCTCCAGTAGAATAACCCATTCAGGGAATAAAATGGACTAGCTTAGTTAAATAATGTATATTCCTGAAGTACTCTTTTTGAAGAAGAAAAAATTGAATTGGTTTCAAGATGGGTGGAGTTTCAAGCAGGTTTTTTTCACTGAAATATTTTTGTATGTGGGAAGCAAAAGAAAGATATTGAAATAAAACACTTCTTAATAGCCAATATTTTTAATTGCAGTATTTTTAATTGCAGTATTATTAACCTTGTTCTCTTATTTGCATCCTTTGTACAGCTGTGATCTTCATTTATTTTTTTCCAGACTCTGAGGGCTCTTGCATGTGATATGGTGATATGATGATAGGATGGTATTACTGATAGCATGCAATTAGGTGTGAGTGTTTTTTCATTATTTGGGGTGATTTTTTTTTTTATAGGTGTGTTAACATTGTCAAAAGTTTAGAGTGTATCTGTTTTCTAATTGAAAAAAAGCAGGAAAGGGTGTAGCTGTTGTTGTAAGTTGCACCATTTGGGAGACTATATGTAATTTGAATGTTGCAGTTCTTGAGATTTGCTTAAAATGCATAATAAACTCTGAATTCTTCTGAAACTGAAGTTACCTTCTTCTGGAAATATTGGTTGTCAAGTAGAGAACAGGAAGTTATATCTTGAACAAAAACTGAACCTTTAGCATTTTGAGATGATATTTTTAATTGCCTGACTGATGTTGGATTGTATAGCTAACAGAGGTTTTAGATTTATAAGTACTCTAGACTAGACTAAATGAGTAATGTCTGAGTTTCAGAGCTGTTGAATTTACAGTGTTGTTGGCTTTGAGGAATTGCAAACTTTTAGGAAACAGTTTCATGATTCTTTGCTTGCCTTAAGTTTATTCTTGAGTTTTAATATGAGGTAAATTATTTTTTTTAAGTGACAATTTATTATAGAAATAAAAGATTTTTCACATAAAATGTCCTAAGTATATTAAGAGATAAAACATCATTTATTAGTGGATTTGTACATACTGGTTTTAGTTTTAAGTATTGAAACTCACCAGGACCTGAAATCTACTCAATAAAGCTTTAACAGATACTATTTTACCCATACTGCAACAGTTAGCATAGTTCTGTGTTTTCTAATACATAGTTGCAAGAAATGGATAATTCTACATAGGAAGATCTCCATTAGAAGACTTTGATGGTGGGGAAAAAGGGGTCAAGAGATCAGTTGATGACTAGGAAGATTTCTTGTTTGGTTGCTTTCTTTTCTCGCCCATACAGAGAGGATATAATGTGATTTTCTGCCCTAAGTGTTAATTTCAGAAATAGTCTATCATTGGAATTAGAATTAAGCAAAACTGCTATCATCCATAATGCTATATGCTAAAAGCTTAGAACTAAAAAAAAATGAAAATGAATGTCTGGGTATTTAAAGTTTGGAATATAGTAAAATACTATTCTTATACGATCCTTTCTGTTCTTCAGTTTATATGTTTTAAAAGTAACTTTCAAGTTTGTGTGATTTTATACTGAAATTTTAATGCCATTTCTGGTGACACCTAACAATTTCTAATTTAGTTTATTTTCTTTTATTCTGGTAGTAATAGCAACCCTTTTTTCTTATTTTTTCCCCCCTGTGGCATATATGTAACTTTTTTAAAAAAGAGAACTGCAGTACTTTAAGAACGACAACATTTCATAAATTCTTTTATGTTATATGCACTCATAAATATCACTTTGACACCATAAACTCTTTTTGCAATGATTCTGCTCATGAGTCAAACTTTTTCAGTGTTCTCAAAATGTTTATATTGTGTAACTGTAAAATACATTAACTTCAGTTTCAGAATGCTAGCTGTTTAAACAAAGGGCAAAGTCTGCCAGATGTTACGCTGGCCTTGATAAGTTTCCCCTGCTCTTTGTTTTTACCTTTTAGTGAAGAAACATTGAGTTTGGTGAAAATCGCCCCATTTTGGGGAATGCTGTTGCACAGTGACTACAACTTATTTATCCCGCATTATCCTAGATTTTTTTTTTGTGTTAAAACAAATAGAAGTGGTAAATTAAATTCCTCCTGTACGTTTTCCTTTTCAGAATCTGTAAAACAGCAACATGAACTGCTGTGTGGGTGCTTCCTGATGGAAGATTGGTGCTAAAAGAAAGAATCTACAGTCTTCAGCTAGCAGGATTTTGACAATTCTCCAGTTGCCTTGGGAGCTGGGGAGGTTGCTGTCTCTGAGCAGATATTTGCCATTTCCTGCCTGGATGCAAAGCAGTACTTGAATCACATCTGCTACTTTCATACTTGAGGAACCATATTTTTTTGCTGTGTAACAGACATTAAATAAGACAAGCTATTATGTCTAAGAAGCAAAACCAAAAAGGTAAGCTTTAATATAGAGGTAGTATTACTAAGAAAAAGGACTATATAATAGATTGCTATAAAATATGGGAATTTAGTCAGTGTTAATACATTCATCAAAGTCAGGGAGGTTCTCTAATTTTTCTCTTACGTGTTTATAAAGAAGAGAAATCCTGTTCACATCTTGCTAAATAAATATAAGATTACTTTTCTAAAATATAATCCTTCATCCGTGTCTCAAATCGAAGAAGGAATGTCTTCAACATTTGAAAAAAGTGTGTTAGGAATTTAAACTAATGGCAGACATAAATAAATCTAGTTTTTCTTCAGAACCATCAATACTACGGTAACAACTGCAAGACCTGCTATGGCAGAGAGTTGTCTATTCTCTGTGCCTCATTTGAGGAATTGCACCTCTCTCTAGGCAGAATTTTGTCTTCCTGAGAAGTCAGTATCATTTTAAAGAACCACTACTTTGAAAGCATGCAGTGAGTAGATTAATAGGTACCACTTTGATGGGAAGGTAACAGCATTCCATGCACTTTTGGCATATAGCCATGTTGGCCACATGACCACGGAAAATGTTTTCGGACAATGCTGGCTCCCTTGGCCAAGAAACGGAGACGAGCATTGCGCCCTAGAGTCGGACACAACTGGACAGGGAAGTCTTTATCTTTTTTTTTTTTTTTTACTTCAGGAATGATTAATCTTATTGAAAACTGATATCTATATCTGCCTGTTAATATTAAGTAAAGGTTGTATGCGAAGTATGTCTGTCTGCAAAAACATTTTATTTTATGTATGCAGGTTTTGCAAATGAAAGTTGCTGGTGTCTTGTCTTTTCTTGATAAGGCTATGATGTATTCTTCATTTCTCTGCCCTCTCTTGGATGCTACTGATAATATGTCAAGAATCAAGGTTCGCTATGTATATTTGAGTTAACGTGACATTTGGACAGGTTTTAAAGATTAAAACTAGCACTTTGAATTAGATTTAAAAAATGACCATGAGTTTATTAAGGCTTTTATGAATATGTGGAAGATATCTTTGCAGCGTTTTGAGTTTAAAGTGGATTGTTTAAACTTTGCTGAAAGTGCGCTGATCTGAATAAATGGCATGCTTATTGACCAGTCCTATTGAACAACTTTCAGCTAAAATGGCTAGATTAATCAATTATAGATTCCAAAACTATAGCTGTTCACAGGCTTCAGAAACACCCTACGGCAAAGTATATAATTTGGTTCCTTGTAAATGTGTTTGGATTACTGTATTGAGAACAAGGAAGGCATTTTAAATAAGCCTAACTTACTGCTTCTATGTCATTCAATAATTCTAACAATTTCTGTTGCCAGTCCCTTCTGAAATAAAATTTGACAATTGTGAAAGAATAAATTGCTAAGTTGGCTGTGTGCACTATTTCCAGCTGTAAAATGTTACGCTATTCATCCTGTGGAAAAAAGATTTTTGGCTCTTCTAGACCAGACATTTGGTTCAAATTATTATTTCCGCTGTCCTTAAAGCTAAATTATGGTTGGGTTAATAATCTGTGTATAAAATTTAGAAACGGAACATATGAGTTTATATTTTAATGCATATTCTTAAGCTATTACGATATTAGTTCTGATTTGTATTTTCCAATTGCTTTATTTGCTATTTATGTCAGAAGTCCCACTAATGAACCCAGCAAAAGGATTCCTCTAGGCAATTAAGTCCAAGCAGGCAAAACTTTATTGGGTACAGCATGTCAGAACTAACGAAGCAAAACCAGCTCTGGGGTTCCCGTGCAAAACTTGCATAGTTAAACAATAGATTTCCCCAGCCCCCACCCACCAATTGTTCACATTGTCCAATAATACTACTCTTTTTTGTTATGGGAATGGCTCACTTCTCCATCAAGCACCTGCGGCAATGACCTTGGCTCTCACGGTCCTTGAACGGCATCCTGGCATTCCATATCCTCCCTTCGGTTTCTACCCCTCCCCCCTTTTCTATGGCAAGTTGATTAGTGATAAAGGCTAACGGACATCATAGCGATTTGATCTTGACAATTTATTTCTAATTGGTTTATTTACTGTTTCCCCACACACAAGTTGTATTGGGTTGTGGGTGCAGAAACCCTAATTTTTATGAACCAACTAAGATTTGGTCTTGTTTCATACATATCTTTCTGGTAGAAAATGGCCATCTTGTATACAGATGTAATTTCTAATATTTCAGTTATGTATATTATTTGTGATGGGAAGCTGTTTCAGGTTTTCTTAGTGAATTTTTTCATATATACACTTAGTGAATGTTACTAACAAGTACTAGACATTGATTGTAATAGTATGTAACTGAGTACTCTCTTGTTTGTACATGCTCATTTTATTCTTTTGGGAAAGCCTACCCCTTCCACAGAACCATTCCGTTTTTCCCCTCTCCCCCCCTTCCAGGCTGCCATCCCGGAAAGGTTGGGGAACTCTGATTTAGGTTCTGGGCTAACAGTTCAAAAATTATAAAGTTACATTTACATTCCAAAGTAATCAATACACTTCTAACATCCCCGCTGTATCATACACTGGGTCTAAATCAACAAATATGCAATAAATGTTCCCTTTTGTACACTTCTAAGCAACCAGAGAACAAATATCTGATGTATAATACACACTACCCTGACAGGATTTCCAGATTTTGCTTGTGATCAGAATTCTGCCCACATCTTTCCAGTTATGTTTGAAGTTAATCCCTCTCTAATTTTCACATTTACTCTTGCTATTTTTCCTTTTAATTAGAAGAATAACAGTGGATTTTTCCAGTCATTGGGATTTTTCCAATCATTTTTCCAGTTCTCACACATGTTAAATAAGTTACACAGCACTCCATGAAAAAAACCAAATCTATACTTTTACATTTTTCCAGGCATACTATGTACATCTGAAACCTTACCATTTTTAACAACTTCACATTATCCCTTTTTATATATTTTTTCTTAAATATTAACATTTTTAGCCTTCATTTACTCCTATCAAAACTGCTCTGTATTTTTGCTGCTTGTTTTAAATAACTCTCTATGGTTCTGTGATGACAGAACAAGATTGTTCATAGCTTTTTTCCCCCCAGTATATACCTTTATAGTGTCAGGGCTGAGTCTAAACGTTGGAAGCCTTTTCTCTCAAAAACCCTCTGGACTAACACAAACTGGCCCCTCCTTCCTGCTTTGGCGTAGTTGCTTATTAGCTACAGCTTATCTTGCCAGAGGACAGAAAAGAACGTAGAACTTCCTTTTCAAATAGTCCCATACAAAACCTTTCCTGTTGGAGAAGAAAATACAGGGATGCTCAAATCACAGATTCCATTTTAAAAGAAACTCCCTTAGAACAACATATGATTCTACGTCCAGGTCACCAACCTGTTGTCTGCGGCCCACTACTGGGCCATGGGTTGTTGGCCACTGGGCCGCATGAGTGGCTGGCCAGTGCACATGTGTGTGCGCACTCTCACCCCCCCACTCGTGCAATGTCATGGCATCGCACAGGCGCTAGCAGTGCTGTAAGCATCAGAGAGGTGCTAGCATCACCACAAGCGCACATCCCTCCACTCGTGCTAGCATTGCGGCATTGTGCCGGCGCTATTGTCACTGCAAGCGCAACATCCCCACTCACACTAGCATCATTCGAGCATTGCGCGGGCACTAGTGGCTCTGTTTGCATCGCACGTGCAATCACAGCCCCGATCGTGTGCGCACAGTCCCATTCATGCATGCATGTGCTTGCACACGTAAAGGTGCCTCCACCCCAACGCCTCGGGCCGCCAGCCCAGAAAGGGTTGGGGACCCCTGTTCTAAGTGAATCATAAAGATCTGCTTCTAATATGAAGAAGTGCATATAAAACAATGTACTGAGCACGTATAAAAAACATAAATACCAGAAGCCAGAAAGAATCAACTACCGGGGAATAAACTAAAGATTTTGTTCTTAGTTAATTTTCCTCTATAGCTCTAAAGAATCGATTAGCTTTGGAACATAGGTTATTCTTCAGTAATCCTGCTTCCTGCAAATTCCAGCTTAAATCTGAGGCTGGGGGAAGATAATAAATCTCACTTGTTTTCAGCCTTTTGTCCAGCAACTTCTACTCAGTTTCTAAAAGGAGAAAACTTTTCCCCCTAATTTATAAAAAAGATTAGGTTTGGGGGGGCATCTGCTTGCTGCATACATGCCATACCCTGCATATTTCTGCTTGTGAAAAGATGGGCTGATTTGAATGTCTGAGCTGGCCGCGATGATAGTAAATGTGGGCACAGGGACTTGCCTACACATTGATTACAACGTTATACAACATCTCTCATTTTTATTTTTTCCAGCAATCATTCTCTTGTGAACCTTTCTTTTCTTATCCAGATACTCTTTGACTTCATCATGGCACCAAAAATGCAGTAAGAAAGATGATAAATGCAAAAATAATAGAGATTAAAAATACAGAATAAAAATGACAGCAGCAGTAATCACAACAGTCCAACAACTGTTGGATTACCAGATGGTCTGCAGAAGAGCTGGGTTTGTAGCATCTCCTGAAAGGCAATCAGTAATAGGCAATAGTCTTATTTCCAGTGGAATGCTGTTCCAAATAACTGGTCCTGCCCCTGAAAAACAGCATCTCTGGGTTTCAATCATTTGATGATCTATCTGATATTCAAAGCCTCTCATTGTCCCTCGTATCCTTCGCTAATTCTCTCAGTCTTGCAGTACAAATGAGGAGTCCAATCATTCCTTTAGATTTATGTTAATCTCTTTGTTAATCTCTCAATAAACCTAATGCTTAAACCTAATGCTTAAACAGTATTCAGAAACAGTATTTTCCAAGTAAGTACAGGTAGTCTTCAACTTACAATTGGTTTATGGCCGTTTGCAGTGTCCCGCAGTTGCATGACTGCCATTTATGATGATTTTTTTTTTTTTACTGGAAACCAGCCTTTACTTCTGGTTTCTGATAAAAAAAACAACATCCATTGTGAACAATGGGTTCATTGTGAACAATGGGTTCACT